TCCCTTGACAAAGTGGCACTGTCAAAACTCTTCATTTTTCTTCTCTTATTAGTTCCAATCATAAATGTACACTGGCCTTTCTCCACTTTCTGTGCCCTTTATCCACTTCAGTGACCCCTTCCAGTTCTCTCATCAAAGCCTGTTCTTGAAAAAAAAATTCACTTTAGCATAAATGCCTGATTATAGTGTCTGACAACACTCTCAGATGAATATGTATTTTACCAGGAAGAGACACTGTAGGCAAAAGAATGAATCTCTAATTATGGAACTTGCAAACCTCTCATTTTAAAGAAGAGAAATCTGAGGCTCCAAGAAAGCGAGGAGAAATATGCCTGAGGTTACCCTGCCGGCTGGTGTAGCGTTGAAACTGGAGCTCTTGGCATCTCCTTCCATACCACTCTCCTTTCTTGCTACCCTGGTATTTTGCCATCAGACTTGGACTTGGGTCTGCATCAGGTCCCTCCCTTAGTGGCATATGGCCCTGGAGCTCATTTATTTGGTCTGGATCCATACCTTGGGAGTGTGAGTGTCGGGACAGTTCTCAAAGGTTTTAGCATTCCACTCCCTTTCAAAGAGTCCAGGGTGGACATGTCACTGGTGAGCACAGGAAACAGGTTCTTGGTGATCACAAAGAATCGAATTGAGCACACAGAGAGTTTATAACAGAAAGAGAGAGAGCAATTTATTAAGTGATAGTACATTCTGCAGAACATGGGAGTGGACCAACTCTGAGCAGAGATTGACCTCAGGGGCTGAAGGGATTTTATTCTTAAAAGGCGTATCCTCCCTGGCTAGTTTTGGCGGGCTTTTATTGTGCATGTACAAGTAGTTATATTACTTTAAAGCTACTGCGTATGTGGTCCCCCATGATTTTCCTTGACTGGCCACCAGAGAAAGGAGGTTGCACAGTGTTAATTTATCATAATGCTGTTAAAACGAAGCAGAGGTCATGTAGCATCTTCTGCGCAGGCGCGTTCATGATTCACCATGATTCATCGCTTTTAAACAGTGGGAACAACTGTTCTTAGAACAGCATCTCTGTCCTGTATCGCTCTCCTTTATCTTATCCCTGGGGCACCTCCGGAGTTTTCTCATTCCTGATTATCTCCTGCCTCAGACAGGGATCCCTCCTAAATCCTAAACCTGGACTCCAAATCTCCCCACCAATGTAATTACCACACTGTTGTCCATGTCCATGAGTCCTTTTTCTTTTCCTTTTTTGGGCTCAATCCCTATCAGTGTAATTGCAGATATAACTCTTCATTTCCTAGTTGCCCATCAGGGAATGGAAGGCTTCTACACACATAAGCACAAGCAGCCTCCCAAAGACAGACATTAATTCTCCAACTGTGCAAGGTAAACCCAGAAGAAGGAAGTGAAACATTTTCCTAACACGCCCTATAATTTGCGTAGTTGTTTCTCCCCAACGAATATAAATTTTTACATTTCTATATAAGGCAGTATTATTCATTTCCTTCTTTACTAGACCTTGCCCTCTTCTTGCCCCTTCCAGATGGTTTTCTCAGGCCTGTCTGGACTATGAAAAAGGTCTGTGACTGAGCTGCAGCGTTTCTCAACAACTGTTCTCAGCCACACAAAGACCAGCTGGAGCTCTGAAATGAATGTGTGTGTGTGTGTGTGTGTGTGTGTGATTACTTTAGGCTATTTGCACTAACTATATACTATCTCCTGCTTTAAAAAAAAAAAGTGTTTCCCTGGCTGGTGTGGGTCAGTGGATTGAGCACTGGCCTGTGAACCAGAAGGTTGCTGATTTGATTCCCAGATGAGGCACATGCCTGGGTTGCGAGCCAGGTCCCCAGCTGGGGGTGTGCGAGAGGCAACTGATCAATGTACCTCTCTCACGTTGTTGTTTCTCTCTCAATTTCTCCTTCCTTTCCCCTCTCTCTGACAATAAATAAATAAAATCTTTTTTTAAAAGTCTTGTGATCCAAAGCTGCATTCAAAGTATCTGTTACCCAGAGTAAATAAAGAGGCAATGCCCTGGTGGGTGTGGGTCAGTTGGTTAGAGTGTCATCCTGTAACCAAAAGGTTGCTGGTTCAATTCCTGGTCAGGGCACATAGCTAGGTTATAGGTTCGATCCCTGGTTCAGGTGCATGCTGGAGGCAACCAATCAATGCTTCTCTCTCACATCAATCTTGCTCTTTCTCTCTCTCTAAAAGCAATGAAAACAATGTCCGCAGGTGAGTATATAAATAAATGAAAGAATCAAAGTTACAAATTTCACATGGGATTCTCTGTACTCTTGTGAATGAATTGGAGAGGTTTCCTGAAAACTGAAATAGAGATAACACTAGCGCTTACCTCATATGGTTGTTGGGAGGTTCGAGTGAATTCATATATAACACAAACACGCATACATAACCTAGAAGTAAAGTGCTAAGCACAGTACCTGGCATATAGCAAGGACCCTGAGCATATTTGCAGTTATTATGAATACACATATTTGTGGTTTTCACATGAGATCTCAGTTTTCAAAAATGCCACCACTTAAAAACTAAAAATCTCAGCTCTGGATGAAGCTTCTTTATACTATGGGTAGAAGGAAAGTCTGAAATGTTGTCCAATAAAGACCTTTGTACCTCTGAGGTACATGTGCTTAAAAGAAATGCACGACCTTCTATCATACAGAAAAGCTGTGGGATTTGAAGCCTCGTGGATTGCTAACATCTGTAGGGCAATTCTTCTTGAGGAAGAATTGATAGTTTATTCTCCAAAACATCCCCATGAGGTAGGTTCCAGTACCGTCAGTGCCATTTTACAGTGAGAACTTGAAGCTGACTTAGAAAATAAAGTGAATTTATTGGTTCACAGGTTGAGATATCCTGAGGTAGGCTGGCTTCAGGTGTGTCTAGTACAGATGTAGTTTGAGCCAGTGGCTCAAATCTTGTGACTGTTTCTCACTTCCACTTGCCCATGTTGGCTATAATCTCAGCAAGCTTCTCTCATCACCTTAAGTTGTCTCAGCAAATCAGAGGCCACTTGCTTCTTTGTTCACATCCCATGACAGAGAACGCCTCTCTGGTAAATCTTTCGGAAAACTAGGAAGGCTTCTTTTTCAGAGCCTTCAGACCCCTTCTCATTGTTTTGTTGCCCCAATTCAGAAATCAGTGTGGCCTGGGGATAAGGAAAGGATGGATTTTTCCAAATGCCACAAACCTGGGGCTGAGTATGGAATAAATCACCCCCCCCCCAATCGCATTGCAGTAATAGGGGAGGGAACCTCCCAAAGCAAGTTCAGGCTTGCTGCAGATTTTTATTCCAGGAAGCAGGTTCTGAGATGAACATTAATGTACAGATGTATTAGGGAGTTCCCTTATGAACAGCACCCATGGAAGGAAAGGGAGGCAGCAGGGCTGAGCAGAGGGAGAAGCTGGGCTGCAAAGGATGTCAACAAGCATTCAGCAACTTACAGGGACCTCCGAAGCTGGGATAACCCTTCAGAGGTAGCTTAGTTAGGTAGAGTAAGATGGGTGGGAGTGAGAGGGCTGAGCCTGTATACCCCCTAATCCCATGAACTAGATATTGTTTAGGGGGTGCCCAGGAGGAGGCTTGGCCCTGAGGAAGCCACCTCCTTTCAGGAGAAGGCAATTCCTGGAAAGGCACTCAGTCATTAGCTGACAAAACTTTCAGCATCTGGCAAAGTAAGAGCTGGCTGAAAGAGGAATCTGGGCAGCATGTCCCGGGAATCATAAAGCAGTTGTGGGAAAGGAAACAAGTCACTCAGCTTCTGAGAGACAGAGCCCAGGTCTGCATGCAGGCCTCCTAGACAGCACCGCCCCAACTTGTTGCTTTCTGCTTAGTGTGTGCCAATTTCTACACACTGACCGTAGCAGAGTGTTTCTGGAAAGAGTCCCAGATACACAGCTCCTCATCGTCAGCTGCCCATCCACGTGTGTTGGGTGAGTACAGGTAACTAGAGGGCTGAACGTGAGGAGGAAACCAGTGATACTATCCTTCGTCACGTGGTTAGGGAGGCACACTGTCTGGCCAGGCTCTCACCAGAGAACTATCCAGTTTGAACAAATGGAGAATAATGAGGAACTTGGAAAGATTACAAAGAAGGCACTACAATGGTGAATGTTTTTCTGAATCAGCAGAGTCAGGAAGGAGAAAAGACTACGAATCTGGCCTTGGTGAACTCACAAGGTGAGATGATCCCTTCTACACAGTGATGCAAAATTCAGCGTGCACTCACGTAGAAATTATGGTTATATCCTCCTTCTGGCAAATACGTCAAATTATTTCATTCCTGAAAATATAATCAAATCCTACAACTATTAGGTTCATGAGAGCAACCATTTCATCATGGATGTTTTGGGTTTTCACAGATAGTGAAATTAAAAACACGCCTATCAGAAGAAAACATCCTGGCAGCTTTAGAACACCTGGAAACCCTGACCCTGCTTTAGAATGTCAGCGCATGAAAGCTGCACTCAGTAAACCACTTACTCATGTCTGGTTCCCATGGCAACATTCACTGAAGCAGCTTTGCTGAAAAAGACTGAATGTGATCAACTGCCAACATGGAAATATACACCCTCCCCTATTCTGTTTTTTAGCATTTTGCTCTCTGACATGCTCTGTGTCACAAGGCAGGACTTAAAATGCTGCCTGTATCTCCTTCTTACACTCACCAGATTTCAGTGGTGCAGCCTCTCTCCACTGTGTTTTCAGTGTAGCACACAGCAGTGGGAAGAGGGAGATTGTCTACCTTCCAAAAGACAAGGAAAGTAATTTCAGGTAGTTCCTTACCCATCCAGGTCCCTCATAAGGGCTCCGTTTTATTTCTGTTTGGTTTGTTTTTAATTTTTATTTATTGATTTGAGGCGGGGAGAGAGAGAGAAGGAGAAACATCAGTTTGTTGTTCCACTAATTTACACATTCAGTAGTTGATTCTTTTTTTTTAAGTATTTCTTTATTTTTATTTAATTTATTTTTTATCCTCACCTGAGGGCTTTTTTTTTTTCATTGCTTTTAGAGAGAGAGGAAGGAAGAGAAGAAGGGAGAGAGAGAGACACCAATGAGAGAGAGAAGCGTTGACCAGCTGCCTGCTACTTGTGGCCGGAACACGGATCCACATTCAAATGGGGGGATTACACACACCCCACCCAGATCAAAGGTAGGATTCTCGACCAGGCATGTGCCCCTACCAGGAATGAAATCTGTAACCCTTCAGTTATTTGACAACACTCCAACTAACTGTGCCACACCAGCCAGGGACACTGGTTGTTTCTCGTACATGCCCTGACTTGGGCTGGAACCTGCAACCTTGGTGTACCAGGATGATGTCCTAACCAACTGAGGTACCAAACCAGGGTGCCCTGTTCTTTCTTTCAGATGGTAGCATTTTTTTTTCCTATTGGAGTCAAGTCAAAGTACATTTCTGTTCATGAGCAAGGCAGATTTCCTAAGTAAGACAGAAGCTATTTTTAGAGGATCTGGCAGGAGAAGATCTTGGAATTCACCTAAACTTAGACCTAGCTTTTGTACAGTATGTCTCACAGGGTACATGTGCACAAACACTTATGCAACAGATTATACACTTCCTGAGATGCCCTCAAAGGCTGTGCTGGATAGAGTCTGAATCTGCCAACCAGAGCATCACACATCCTTCCCCTCCTCTTCCTTTAAAGCATATTGTCAATTTCCTAGCCCTTGGAAAACCTTCCAGTGAAGTGAGATTGTGCTGAAAAGACCATATTGGTGGCATAGCTGGACTGTACATCAATAAATTTGTGTGAGTTCTCTTTTGGGGGACAATGTCAGAAGCAGTTTGTGGTTACAGATTAGCTTTGTAAATACGAGTGTGGACTTCAAGTTTGCATACCAAGTTTGTGGTCTGGGGTATAAGGGGCAGACAAATACTTTGTGGTCCAACCAATGTGATAAAGGATGTGCAATGGGAAAATATTACATATAATAATTCAGAAGAAAATTTTAAGTGCTATTTTATAAAGTGTGAACTCTGGATCTTGATTCAAACAAATAAGCTGCTAGAATTGCTTATAAGATGACTGGGGAAATTTAAATACTGGTAGAATGTTTGATTATATTTCATCATCAACAAAGTTGAAAGGTGAGTGCACAGGGCTTCATGATACCGTTCTCTCTGCCATGGCCTGTAGTGAACATGAAAAACATACAACCAGTGTTGGCAACTACCCTGCCTGGTTTCAGAAGCTGTAAACCTCCATGGCTAAGGCTGAGTAAAAAGACATCGGGACCATAAGCCACTAAGGAGACAAAGCTTATCCTCCTGACAGGGGCACAGCCTCTGCCCCCTTTACTTCACCTTGCTTAGCTCCGGGCAGATGACTAGTTAGCCAATCTCCCTTAGGTAAGATTCCTCAAGGGAGGGATGACCTAAGACAGGAATGGTCATGAAGGGGCCATCAGGGAAGGACTTGGGGGACTATAGAAAGAGGGGGTGATAGATGCTTGCCCCTTGGCTTTGATGTAGCCTGAGTCCTCATTCTGTCTGGGAGATGTCTTCTAATCTCTTGGCTGCCTTGCTTCCCCTGCCTGACTTCAGCCTGAAACAATGCCAGAGGGTAGTGCAGCCCTGAGCAAGAATGAGCAGTTGCCTGGGTCAATCAGGCCTAAGAAAGAATGCATAAAATCCTGTAAAAGCTGCTTTGCTAAGAATGCCCTCAATTTTCTGATAAGGGCCCAAGCATAAAATAAGTTTGTTTCCCACGGTTTTATGGCCCTTTAGCTATCTGACTCTGACTCAGAATAAGCCCTCATATTTCTTTGAATGTTATTTACTGTTTGAACATTATAGCCTAACAATAATTGATGAGCTTTACCTGTATTCCTGTGCAGATTGAACCCAATAAAAGCCCACTGAGGAACAGGCTCAAGGCCCTTCTTTTCTGAAACATTGCCCACCTTCCCTCCCCCCAAACAGATCATGTCTTGGTAGACTTGTTCTCATCCGTGGCAGCCGGGGGGGGGGGGCACTGCGGGTGGAATCCCCCCATAAACCAGCCCCAGTGGGGCAGTCTGAGGATTTCTGGAGGAAGTGTCCTTTCAAATGAGACCTCAGGGATGAGAGGAACTAGCAGGCACAAAACAAGGGGGAGAGAATGAAATGCGAGGTTTTGGCCATATTAAGTGTTTTGGAGAGAGGGAACCACATGGGGACAGGCCTGAAGGTGAAGGAGAGTCCCTTGGGACTGAAGAAAAGCTCAGTAGCATTGCATCAGAGTATGGCAAGAAAAGAGGCTGGGAGGTGGAAGGGGGGGCGTTCAGAAGGCAGTGATAAAGAGTCTGTATGTTGCTCTGGCTTATGTGGTTCAGTGGCTGGAGCATCATATGGTGCACCAAAAGGTCACAGGTTCAATTCCCACCCAGGGCACAGGCCTAGGATGCAGTGTTCGGTTCCCAGTAAGGGCATGTATAGGAGGCCACAAACTGATGTTTCTCTCTCACATCGCTATTTCTCTCTCTCTTCTCTGCTTCTCCTCTCTCTTAAATCAATGAATATATCTTCTGATGAGAATGAGTTTTTTTTTTTTAAAAAGAGTCTGGCTCTGGCTGGTCTGGCTCAGTGGATTGAGCACAGGCTTGTGAAGCAAAGGGTGCCTGGGTTGCAGGCCAGGTCCCCAGTGGGGGACACATGAGAGGCAGCCACACACTGATGTTTCTCTCCCACTCTTTCTCCTTCCCTTCCTCTCTCTCTAAAAATAAATAAATAAAATGTTTTTAGAAAATGAGTCTGTATATTTTCTTAAGATCAATAGGAAACCACTGAGCAGGGGAACAACTGGCTGGATTCAGGGTGTAGAAAATCTGCACTCAGGTTTGATGGTCCCAGGTCGGGACGCAGCCAGCACCCGTCCCTTGACACAGTCCGGACGAATGAGCTGCATCTGCACAGCGGAGGCAACTGTGGCTGGATTTCCCTTCTATCTCTCTTTGTGTTTGTTTTTGCGATTAATAAATAGGTAGTGAGATTTTGACACCTGTATTTCAGATCCAATGATCCGCAGAATTCCAATGAAGTTGCACAAAATGATTTCTTGGCCAGAGAACAAAAGTTCCCCCTGATGGGGTAGCCCTTGAACGTCTAAAAGTTGATGAGTAACAGCCCCTCCTCTACCTTGGACAGGAATATATATTAATTAGAATTAGACAGGCAAAGAACAGGAGAAGCTGGTTAGCTATTACAAATTAAGCATGTAGAAACAATTACCCAGGAGTCAGAGTCCATATTACATAAAGAAACATTTTAGACAGAAAGATAGATAGCTAAGTTAGACATCACAAAGGCCTTATAATAAATTTTCTATAACCTCTGCTCAGTCTAGCGTATCCTTTTGCCTCATGCCAAATTCTAAGAACCTTAATAAACAATAAGACATTTCAACTCTGTACATACAGCTATTTCTAATTGTCTGATTAATGGCTCTCCTGGTCAAAACAACCTTTGTTTAACATTAACTGAGTCTATGGAAATTCTTGTACTTTTCCTGGTTACTTCTGTGTTGGTCTTTTCTGCTTAACTGATCATGCTATGCACCTATTCCTTTAATGTTATGTAACAATCTCTATAAAAATAAAGCCTAAATCAAACTCTGAGAGTTCGGTCAGACCCACAGAGGCTGACTCTTCTGCGGCATCCAATCGGGGGTCTGACTCATCATTCATCACCTGCACCGTCCATCTTTCAGAGACCCTGAGACCTGCCAAGGCTGGACCCCAGCAGTCCCACGAGAACCTCAACTTTGGAAAGTTATCTTTTACTCTTACCAGTTATTATTGCTTCATGACTTGCAAGTTCTGCGGTGCCTAAGTGGAAATTTCCATGCTGAGACAAGGGAGGGGCTGCTTACTCTTTGCTATGGTCTAGATTGTGTCCCCCCATAAGTCCACATGTTGAAGCCCTAACACCTAATGTGACTGTATTTGGAAATGGGGCTTTTAGGAGATAATCAAATTTAAATGAGGTCATAAGGGCGGAGTTCTGATGTCATAGACTTGGTAACTTTATAAGAAGAGGAGAGAGATTTCTCTCTTTACACACAAGTACAAAGGAAAGGCCATGTGAGCACACAGTGAGAAGGCAGCGATTTCCAAGCCAGCAAGAGAGTCCTCACCAGAACCCAGCCATGCTGGTACCCTGGTGAGTCCGAATATTTTGCCTTCTGATCAGTTGGAAGCAGTGGAGTTTCACACTTCCCCTCCCTTGTCTCCTCCCCTTGGATTCAGGTAGGGGCTCTTTGCCAAGGCCTCTGAATGGCACCTGGGGTCCCAAATCCTATTCATACTTGCAGCCAACTTATCTGGAGGTCTTATCTCTGCAGTTTTGTAAACATTCCTAGTTTTCAGGAAGACTAACACCCTCCAACCTATATCCCTCATCCTTGTCCAATGGAGTTCTACCCTTCAACAAGGATTTTCACTACTACCACAATCAAGATATGGAACATTTTTACCATCCCCAAATGTCCTGACATGTCCTCTTGCCCCACCCCAAGCCTTATTCAATCACTGATTGGTTTTATGTCTATACAGTTGTGCCTTTTCTAGAATTTATAAAAAAATTTTATTTATTTATTTTTAGAGAGAGGGAGAGGGAGAGAGAAAGAAGGAAAGAAATGTCAATGTGTGATTGTCTCTTGTGCACCCCCAACAGGGGACCTGGCCCGCACCCAGACATGTGTCCTGACTAGGAATCGAACCACCGACCTTTCAGTTCTCAGGCCAGCACTCAATCCACTGAGCCACATCAGCCAGGGCTAGAATTTCTAATAAATGGATTCACACTGTTTATACTATTTATGTCTGGGTTTATTCTTATGAGACAAAATACATTTCCCTGCCACTAGATTTAGTTCAGCCATGTAAGTTGGTAAGGACGCCCCTCAGCAAGGCTTGACCCTATGACTTGCTTTGGCTGAATGGAGGAAGTGAAAGTGATGGCAGGACCCGTCTAAGCCCAGGCTTTAGGAGCCTTGCAGATTTTCATTTGCTATCTTGCATCTCTGCCACCATCTTGAGAACTTGCTGGGTGAGCTCACTGACTGTTTAGAAACTCATGGAGCAAAGCTGAGTGACCTCTGTCAACCAGCCAGTGGACCTCCAGCATGGATGTGATGAGCCACTTAGCTGATC